TAATTATATTAATATTTTTGAATAAAATAAAAGAAAAAGAGACAGTAATTGAGAAAATAGAAAAAAGACAACTACAGTGATTTGAATATCTCAAATCCTTTCTCCTTCTCTTTCTCTCTTTCTCTCTCTCTGAGTGATTTGAATATCTATACTCGAGAGAACAAATGTCCATAGAAAATATTTCCATGAACTCCATAGGAAGGAATAAGCATGACAAATGATGATAATCCCTATGATTTTAACACCAAGGAATATACAATAAACCATAATAATCCAAGAACTCGAAGAAGAAAATAATAGATAATAGAAATAGATAATAGAAATGCATAATGATTGGAAATGATTAGAAATTAAAAGACAGTATGAATACAACCTATTTATGAATAGTAATACTATTTTGTAATTATATTAAATTTTATAATTTAGTACATTGTATTATATAAAATATTAACCATAAAAATATTATGCTGGTAAGAAAATTATAATAAAAGTATATAAATAATGTTGACTATATTAGAATGGAACATATGAATTCTTTATATTTTATATAAAAGAAGAGATATTTAAAATATTTTGTAACTATATTTTTCGAATCTTAATTATAAAAACTTTAGAACAATCAGTGATTAATTTAACAAATTCTATACATGTATTAATAATTAAATAAGTAATAAATAAATAAGTAAATAATTAATAATATAATAACTTTTTTAAATAATTAAAAAAGTGATTAATAAATATCAAAGATCAGTTTATTGCTAATTAAGATTTGTAGAAATAACGGTTAAAAATGTTTTTATTCCATAGCAGGCATTTTGTGTTTTGTAAATAAAAATATATAAACATGGCAATGAATATAGAAAAATATTTCATCTTTGAACATTACATTGGAAGATTACAGTATCTTTCACGATTGCATAATTTATTTACTATCAATTTATATACATGAGTGTCTTGTTATACTCTGGTTACCGACATTTCGTGCACATAGCACGGAACAAAACCAGAAATTGTGCACATGATACCCTCTGAGAACATTCATGTATATTGGCTTTGTAGTTTATGTCCACGTTTTCAATGTCCATAGAGGGAGTATCGCATTCAGGGATTATCTAAAAGCAGGCCATGACATTTTTCAGTCTTCTCTTTGGCTGATACTTCAGCTCCCAGTTGATCACCTACGCGTTTCATTTCTTTCCTTACAGATAGCACTTAAATCTTTAGTAAGTGGCGGCGTCTTACAACAAATATACAAAACTTTTAAATTACAAGATTCACGAATTGTAAGAGAATGTAAAAAAAGACAGTGTAACAGTGATAATAGTGATAACAGAATGATAATATAAATATATAGAATATGAAAAGCGAATATATAATTTATATAATTGTTAAAGAATTCGCCATCGAAACTAAAATCGTGAGTTATAATGTATTTATACTGTGTATATGATGCATACATTTTGTTACATAAACGATAGCAAAAACAAGGATGGAATGAACAATCCAGGTATGTAAAATTAATGAAATTGCAAATTTGAGGAATATTAACACGTAAATTGATTACCTTTAGATACTCTACGTCCAATTATTTTACAAGACAAAACGATTCATCACATCTCTCTTCATGCGACAATAATCAGTTACGAGTATAATTAGCGTTATCAATTATGTAATGTTTTTCAATAATATCAGATTTTATTAGTGTTATCATTAATATTATATTTTATTATTGCTATCATGATAACAAGAATCTAATCTCTCTCTTGATTTACAATACTTGAAATTTGATTTTCCGTAGATTTTTGCCAGAGAAAGATTTGCTGTTTATTCGCTGCCCGCAATTTATATTTCGCTGAATTGACAATAATTAGGACGATTTTAATCAGAATGTCTTTTTTGCACGGATTAGCATGCTGGCGTCAAAATTTATTTTTATATCACTACAGGAACTTGCGACGCGAGGATTAGAAAGGGGAGAAACGTACGCTTAAGGCGGAAGCCTGTCACGCAGTGACGCTCAAACGAATTCCTCTAAATTTTCCTAGAAATGTCAATGAATTAGAACATTCATAATCGTGTTGATTTTAACTTTTCTAAAGGAAGAGAAAATTTCATACTCTCGCTAAATATTTTACTTTCTTTCAATTTAAGAAATATATCTATTTTTCATTTTTTTAGGTAATGATATAAATGAAAATCTATAACTTTTATTCTATAGCCTTGTAGTTTTATAAACTATATAAAATGTAGTTTTAAAGACTATATAAAATGTCAAGATAGTTCCATATTATTTACAGAAAAGTAAAACAAAATTAAATATAAATAAAATTTAACTTGAATATATATACTTTTATATATATATATATATATATATATATATATATATATATATCTTATTATTATTATTAATCTATGTTCCATTAATTTATTAAGGCATATAAGAAATGCATACTTTTGAAAAACAGTGATTTTCAATGCTAATGAAGTTGCAAATATTCAAGCATCGGAATTTATCACGTGCGATTAATATACAATTCATAGTTGCATATTAAATGTAGAATATGAATACTAAATATAATGTGTAGTCATTCTTTTAATTTGCATGTTTATTCTGTTTGTAAAATAAAATACGTATCTGTATAGGATTTAAATAGATAGAAAAAATAAAGAATGGAATGTAGTAAAATATCATAAAAAGTCTAATTATAAAAAAACTGCAAAATATACAATTTCAAATATTTTTTATGAAAAAGGAGAAAATATAAAACTTATTATATTAGAAAAAAAAAACAGAAATATGCAATTAAATATGTAGATATTAAATCTAATTTATTTGTTAAAATAATTCCAGCTTATTTATAGCAAAAATTCTGAGAAAAATCCGAAATAAATTCACAGAAACGTGACCAGAAATTCTATCATTGACTGATTCAATTGTCGCGGCGATTCGCGCTCATATTTAACATTTTACACACGGTTACGCACACTAATAAATTGCATGTAAATGATAATGTGATGATAATGACGAGAAGGTTGCGCGGCACTGACGAAATGGACGGACGTGCGATGTCATTGGCGTAGAATGTTGCTACAGCTAAAATACATTATTCATTGTATGTCTTATTAGTATTCCTGCCTTAAAATTTCCTTGGAAAACTTCGCGATAGTCTTTAAAATAGAAGTTAAAAATTTAATTTTTCTATAGCAACATGACGTACATAAGTAGTATTTTTACTTCGAGTCCTCAATTATCGCGACACACATTTTAGCGTCTCTTTCAATCGATTCTTTATGAATTCTTTTGAAAAACGCATTCATTCGCATTTTTTTCTTTTCGATGCAGAGCACGAGGAAAAATACTTCGACGAGCATTTTTAATTTTTACTTAATAAACAACTTGTATGCAATAATTTCGATATTAAAAATCTTTCATAAAAAAATATCTACTGACAAGAATAGATTATCTTGCATCGCGATTATTTCGCAGCTGCGTGCGCCAATGTCGAGAGGGTGATGCGTGGTCTCCGCGAGCGAAAGAGCAAGGGTTCGCTCGGACGTAACGCTCTTTAGTATCTTTAGTATCGCACTACAACTGCAATATCGCACACGCATCGCGTCAATTATGCTTTTTCACGAGAGAACATGATCCTTCGTCCCCGGCGATGCGCGTCGCGTTCTCGCGATCGACACGACGATCGCCGGCGAGATGCTGCGTATCTCGATGAGAAAATCCGCCGACATTTTTTTGCGCGATTCGCGTTCGACGCGAGTCGCCGCGCGACCACTTTTGCTATCGATGATCCGGACGAGACACTCATTTCATACACGTGCGAATAATACCGCGTAGAAAATCCTACGCGAATGTTCGTCATAAAATTTCTCAACGTTTTCAATATGAATTTTACAAGCGAATATAATATAGTGTTACATCTTTGTAAATTTGTAGAGTTGCGAAATAAGCAAAATATGAAATAAGGTTCTTGTAAAGCAAAAACTTGATTACAACATTAATCATCTCGGTAATTTACACGTAAATTAAAATGTTGATTTAGGAAAAGTTTTGAGAGATTCTAATATATATAAAAAAATTTTATACATTTGAGATAATTTTCAATTGCATTGTTGCTTCAAGTTTTTAAATAAACGTTTCAATTTTTTATTCCGAAAATATTGATTGAAGTCGAAATAAACTGGTTTCTTGTGTCCCTTTTTTATATATTAATCACGAACTTCCCTGCAACGTGCTAGAACACTTAGCCACATCGGTGTGACAAACCGACAAGCGTGGACTGTAATAACAAGCCTATCAGTGTTAATATTGTAAAATAGTCGATTAATAATTCTGTGAAGCACGTCGTGCAAATTGCTGCGAAAAGGAAACGAACGAGAATCAATGTACGTATAGTTATCAATATCCGTATATTTTATCAATATTTTAAGTTTGATGGATTGTCACGAGAAAATCTTTCCCGCAATTCTATTCGGTTATCGCTCATATTTTTGTTGCATTTATTTGCATTTCACGTCTCGAAAAATACGTTATCGTTTTCGCAGGTGTGCGATTTCGGCGTTTCTGATGCAACATGGTTGTGGGACCCGTAAGACTTAGGTGGGTGCAATGGCGTAGAAACGAGAGATACGCAGTGATATAATTTGAAAAAAGCTTGTATGTCAAATATATTCAAATTGATAAAAAAATTTACATTTGACATTTTCGAAGAGTGCATCCGTTGAATTTTTATTATTCATTGTCTTTCTCTTAAAATGATGCCATTTAATGTGAATGTTTGCTCAAGAAAGCAAATTGTGAATTCGGAACAAGTTGTTCTCATCTGGTTGTTTAACTTTTTTATATCATTGTTAAAAAAGAAAGAAGAAGCTGACAGAGTGTCGATATAGAAAGAGAACTGAAAAATTGTTAAAATTAAATATTTTTTATTTCCATCGTGCTTTATTCGAATCTCCAAAGACGCGAAGGGGAAGGAGAGGGGGCGAAAAGACTCGACGTAGAGAGTTTGCGCGATTTTGGAGTCGATGCCGGTATTACTCCGATACTATTTCGGAGCGCTCGTGTCCGCGCCACTGGACGCGCGCTACTGCGAGCGTCGCGTCAGTTCGATCGTCGACAGAGGATCGTGTGGAGGGTAGAGGTAGTGGTGAATGCGACGTGTATTCGGCGCAAACGCAAGAGTGTGGAGGAGAGCGCAGTGAAATAGCAAGCGACCGTCCGGCTTCATCGGCAGTGTGAACGTGGACCGGCACATCAGTTTCGCACGTGTGTCAGTTCCGTCAGAAACGTCTCTTTTCTTGCCACGTGGTGACGAAGAGAAGCGCGCGTTCTGTTTTCCCTTTTTTTCCCCGCCGTCTTTCATTTATCGGACTCGGCTTCCTTCCCGCCTGTCCACGTGGTACGGTGATGCTCACGCAGCAAGTCGCCCATTCACGTTACTCCGATATTGCAAATAGCCGCGCGGAAACGCGTGTGACACTCGAGCGCGCCAATTTCGGAGAGCGTAGGTGAAGGCAGACGCGTGCACGTGCGAGAGGATGCCAGACAAGGTAGCGCCGGCGGAGAAGACGGTCCCGCGATCCGTGATCGCGGGGCCGGACAGCGGCAATGAGGGTATTAAGCTGAAGAAGGAATTAGGTTTGTGGGACGGAGTGGCGATCATCGTCGGCATCATCGTCGGCGCCGGTATCTTCGTTTCGCCAAAGGGTGTGCTCCTGAACAGCGGCAGCGTCGGTCAGGCCCTTATAGTCTGGATCTTCTCCGGGATCCTGTCGCTCATCGGAGCTCTATGTTATGCTGAACTTGGTGAGTGAATGACGAAATCCTGTATAACGGTTACTTCCCTCGCTGCGAATTGTCGGGTTCGGCAAGTGATGAAACCAGATATGTCTTGGTGAAAAATTTTTTGAAAGAATCTCTCTTTCTTCTTTTCTGCAAAAGATAAATGTATGTAAAAAATATTCGCACATACAATCTCGTACATGTTTCTGTCGCATAAATGTTTCTTGGCACGTGATTTTTTGCGTGCTTTTCCTATCTCTCTTTTGAACACACTCTTTTGAACTCTTTTGAATCTTTAGTTTTTTTATCTATTTACATACAAAGTATTCCAAATATTAAAAAAAAAAGAAAAAATATATATTTTCTTCTAAAAATTATATATTATACACACACACACACACACATATGTACATATAATTATACTATATTATTATATAAAAAACGTAGTAATTAAAAATATAGTAATTAATAACGCGTATTATGCTATATAACAATAAAATAAAGTTACAAAATTTTTCTAAATTATATACGTTATCAATATAGCACATATATTATCATTATATAATTAATCTATTTGTGAAAATAAATTATATAATTAACGTATTAATGCAAAAAATAATAATATTATCGTGAAATTATTCATAAATTATTCAAACAATTTTTCTAGTTATTTATATATATATATATATATATATATATATATATATATTTTTTTTTTTTATTTCACACATATATTTTAAAAAATAAGAAAACTTTTCAAACAAACCATAATTTTTATATAATACAATATTTCTTTTCGCAATTCTTTTTTGCTTTATATAAAAATATATTGAAAATTATATCTTTAAATTGTAATCTTATAAATGTGTTCATTTGTTTTAAAATTCGAAGTATCTATCTAGGAAAAGCACAAATATCTTTTATTTGTTTATTTTCTCTTTACTGTTTCTTCATTTGCACGTGCGTATTGTTTTAACATAGCAACATGTTGATAAAGTGCAATCTTACATGCTAATAAGTACTTGCACTTTTTTGCGATAACTGGATGACTAATAGTAAAATAAACGGATAATGACCCCGACTAAGAACTAAATGCAAATGATCGATTTCGAATAATTTTTACAAGAAAAGAAAAAATCATAGAGAATTACGTCACCCATGAAATATTGTCCAGATATTTAGTTTAAGACAAGTTTATCAAATTTCAACTCAGAATTTTATGATTGACGAATATAGGAGAAAAGAAAAGAAAAGAAAAAAAAAGAAATTTCTATTTGTCTATTTTTTAAATTTCTGTACGTGCATACATACACACACAGAATATATTTTAAAATATAGATTTTATGTATATATAAATTAAAATAATTTCTGTTTTTTTAACAAAATATTTTCATGACGAAAAGAATTTTTTAATGAAAATTAATATCTTCGTCAAATACAATACTTTATTTCTATTAATAGTTCTGGTCTCTTAGAATTATTATTATAGATTTACAATTTAAAGTTTGATTTCTGCACAAAGGATCATTTATCGAAATTTGCTTGTGTCTGTGAATTTGTAACAAACTCGCCATCACGATTATAACAAGCCATTCACACAGTGGTTCTTCATCTTATAGTATTTTTATCTGTTCATAAAGAAATATTCCGAATTCTAAAATAGATAGAAATTTGTAAAAAGATTATACATAATTTATAAATATAATTAAAAGATATATTCTTTCGTATAAAAGAATGAAAAATTGAGATAGAAAATATTGTAGCATGTAAAATTACAAGTTGTTTGAAAGACGTAATTACCTTGTAATAACAGGAGACGAATGACATCAAATGTATAAATTGTAGTAAGTTCTTCGTGACAAATCTAATCATTAAATTTTCGCTATTATGAATCATATCCATTATCATTATTATCGCATTATCGTTATCGTGTGCCACAGATTCAATTGAAGATATACTCAAGGTTCCCTTAAAATAAAAAAAGAAAATTAAATTGAACATTACAAGATATTTTAAGTCATTCTATAACTATAAAAGCCTATTTCTTTATTTTGAAAAAGATAAGATCGAACAAAGTATTTTTGCAACTTGATTAATTCAAAAAAAAAGTAGAAGGAGAAAAAAGAATAGAAAAGAGGACTGCAGGATATGCAAACTGTGACCTCGCCGAATGACCGAAAAACCGCGATATCGCAAAAACGGCGAGAACCCATTGATAAGATTGTATATAAACATGGGGAACATGATTTACGAGGAAGCAGTATCTATTCGCATAGATGCTGCGCAGAGAGAAATCATGGAACGCGCGTGCAATAATATGATAGGTCATGAGCGCGCGATCCGACCCGGTGGCAATTAAATAGTGTTATATGCGATTATCAATTTTTTTCTTTTTCATTATTCAAGATTAACAATTTATGCGCTTCATAAGAAAGAGGACAGAATGAAATATAAGGGATAGTAAATAAGTATATGATATAAGATGTTATCTTAGAGTTATAGGTATATGTACATTATATTTTCGTTGGACTAACTGTTAAGATTGATCGAAAATATGTGTTGATTTATGGAATTTGATAAACACAGATAATTTCCTTTTTACATTTATATAGGTACGATGATTCCCAGATCTGGTGGTGATTATGCGTATATCAGCGACGCCTTTGGACCTTTGCCAGCGTTCCTTTATCTCTGGGTGGCGTTATTCATCCTGGTGCCAACAGGGAACGCTATCACAGCACTTACATTTGCACAATACATCCTACAACCCGCGTGGCCCGGTTGCGAACCGCCATATGAAGCGGTGCGACTCCTCGCTGCTGTGATCACGTGTAAGATGAATACTTTGTTTTCATTTATTTCTTTCAGTTAAGAGAAATTTTATTTTTAATGGAAAGTAAATGCTAGTAGAGATAATTTAAAAAATATAAAAAAATATAAAAAATATAAACATAATAAACATAATAAGTAAATATAATAATTAAAGTATAGAAAGGAATAATTAAAAAGAAAAATTGTTATCAGTGTAAAGCTTTGAATATGAGTGAGCGAAAAAATTTGCAGGTCTGCTGACCGCCATCAATTGTTACAATGTCAAATGGGCGACCAGAGTGCAAGATTTCTTCACAGCCACCAAAATTTTCGCTTTACTGATCATCATAATAGCGGGTCTGGTGTGGCTCTGTCAAGGCCACACAGAGAACTTTCAACGTCCAATGGCTGGCACCAACACTCAGCCCGGTTATATCGCCCTCGCGATTTATTCCGGACTGTTCTCTTATTCAGGCTGGAATTATCTCAACTTCGTGACGGAAGAGCTTCAAGATCCTTATAAGTAATTGCGAATTCTCCGTTTCATTTCATCATTCTTTTGCATCTCTACTGCAATTTTTGTAATGTACATAAGATAAAACAGGTATTGCTTATTTTTGCAAGAAATGAAATATTGTATTATTAAAATTATATTATTAGAAAAAAATTTATTTATATATTATTTAAAAAATTATATGATAAATTAATATTTTTATATGCCTTTAATTAATATTTTTAATTGATTTTTACAGAAATCTTCCAAAGGCTATTTGTATATCATTGCCGGTAGTAACAGTGATTTACGTTTTCGCAAACATCGCATATTTTGTTGTACTCACACAAGACGAAATACTTGCGTCGAATGCCGTAGCTGTTGTAAGTACGGATTTATACATTAATAATTGGAACAACTGTGAAGTATTGATCATCGCGATCACGTTTCGTTGCCAAGTGATTGCATTAGCGCGAATATTTTAGCGTCATAAAGAAAATAGTGTAGTAAGAAAATAATGCAATTTGCATTACATATATAAAAAGGAATGATATATTGATTTAAATATTAAAAAACAAACTTGTAAAAAGAAAAAGAAATTTAATTCACACAACTAACTTATATTAAATTATTTATAACAATTTATCATATTTTAAGAGATAAAAAAAATTAATATGCAAGCGAATGTGTCTTCCCTAGCGTACTATCATTTTTCATAAAAGAAAGATCAAACATCGTATCTCTGATCAAATTGATAGACTGTTTAATACATCTCGTTACATGCATAAAATGAAATCAATCTAATCTTCGACGCAAAAAAAAAATTACGCAATTTCGATTTCGCTATAATCAAAATGCCACTCCACTTTTGCTAACATAACATTAAATCGCAAAAAATTCCTTTCTAGACCTTCGGCGATAAATTGCTGGGTGTTATGTCATGGATCATACCATTCTTCGTGGCGTGTTCGACTTTCGGAGCATTAAACGGCGCGATATTTGCATCATCCAGGTTGTTCTTTGTCGGCGCCCGAAACGGACATCTCCCCACTGCCATTGCTTTGATTAATGTCCGCAATTTGACGCCGATGCCATCTCTCATCTTCCTCGTAAGTACCGCATCTTCGTTTTTTTGTTAAATTATTTGTTAAAATCAAAATGCAAAAAATGAACAGATGCTGGCCACAAGTTGACAAGGATTTATTAATAATTTAATATCGAGTTTAAATAATTTTTGACGTAGAAAAATCAAATAAAGTGAACGAAACGTCGCAAACAAAACTTGTATGTATGTAATTTTACGCTGATTTTACCGGCTCTCCTTGAAAGTCAAATGGTGAATGTATTTTTCTTCTATTTTCTTCATTTTAACTATTTATTGGTATAATCGAACAACTATCCATTGATATAATCGAACAACAATCTCTAAGCTCGAACTCTATTTCATCAATAATTATCGTCGCATAACATGTTTGCAATGCATTCGTTTAGCGATAACAGGAATGGGATATGTTGAAGATTTATGTGTGACATTGAGACGTGATATATTGACATATCGGGATTGAACCAATATAATCTATCATGGAATTTGCATAAATTTTTATGACACTGTGACATTTGTAAAAAAATAGAATAAGTTTATTAATTGCCCAAATATTTTGATCATGAGAAATTATTTATATATAATTATTTTTTCATACATTATTTTGTATAAATTTTTTTTACCTACAATATGTTCTCTATACTTCAAAACATTTTTCTAAACCCTTTTTAATGAGAGAAATCTAAAGAATCATATGTCTTTAGATAGTTGTGTAACTGAAAGAAAAAAAATAGTAGAGAAAAAAATTATAAGAAGACTAACGCAAGCACTCAAAAAAGTGATCGGTTTATGTATATTTTTAATTGATATCAATGTAATTTTGCGCTTTACATATGATAATTTGGTTCATTCAATTGACGGGGACATAATTAATTGGTATATAAATACCGTGAAATTAAATTAAAACTCTGGTTTAATAAAATAAGTCAGTCGAATTGAGCGACGAAACGACGTGCGTAGTAGTATGTGGTCTGGCATTTTAATCTCTGCAGTTCGTTTGAAAGCGATAAATTGATCTTTTCATGTCGATCTCTTTGATAAGCGGAAGTCTGCTAGCGATTTCCATTCCTTTCTATGAGCAGATTAAAAAGACTGATCTAAAACGCCATTCAAAATCACATCATACCATTAAACATTGTATAATTTTGTTGTTAATTCTCGTTTCTAATAGAGATTAATTAGAAATTAATTAATTAACCACTCATTTAATGTGTTATCTCTTTTAAAACTTTAAATCAATAACTTTTGAGATTGATGAGCGAAAATGATTTAAGATTGAGAATTAAAAAATTATTAAATTATTATTATAACCATGTTAATTCTTTTACTAAGAAAATTTAAAATTAATTGAAAAATAGATGGATGAATAAATGTATGCATAATTTACATACATAATTCAGAATTGATCGCAAAAATTATTTTATATTAATTTTAAATCAACACTTTGTTACGATTCGTGATTGATTCTAAAAACGAATACACTCGCGGAACAATTTTTCTATTTTTACTATTATTAAATTTTAATTCTGATTGTTAAACTATAATTTTTAGTGCCTTATCACCTTAGTCCTCCTCATTATAAAGGATGTCTACGTATTAATAAATTATGTCAGCTTCGTTGAGGCTCTATTTACCACATTTTCCGTGTCTGGTCTATTGTGGCTACGTTACAAAAAGCCTGATCTCCATCGTCCTATAAAGGTACGTATATCTCACTCTTTGTCAGAATTTTTGAAGAAAGTCCAAAATGTATATTTCTTCTATTTTTCTTCTTTTATATAAATAAAATTTTATTTCACATTTTTATATTTTTTCCTAGGTTTCCATAACTTTACCAATCATTTTCTTCATCATTTGCGTATTTCTGGTCATCTTTCCATGCTATGTTTCACCATGGGAGGTAAGCATAGGTATAATTATAATCTTGTCTGGAATCCCCATGTATTGGATCTTCATTGATTGGAAGGCGAAGCCCGCATGGCTCGTAAATGGATCCCGTAAGTTGTACTCAAACTTTGTAAGTTCGTCAAAGACGTTCGCGTTTACGAAATTAATACTGTCATATATATATTTTGCAGATAATTTCAATATGGCGTGTGCCAAGCTGTTCATGTGTGTACAAGAAGATAAAACTGAGTGAAATATGTGAAAGTAGTTGTAATTATTGCCAAAAATTTCAAATTATGGTGCCTAAATTCGAGAATGCGTTTTATGTGAGTATGCGTATTTTTAGATAGATAAATTAATTCGTCCTTTTTTAGATAGATAAATTAAAATTATAATCCTAATCACACACATCAAATGTCAATTACAACATCGAATTTTGTCGAACAGTTGCATAATTTTATAAGTATTAACGACAATACGTGCATGTGAATGACATAACACGATTGTCAATGTAGATCTGTAATTTTTATATATTCTCATAATATGAATTATAATTTTTATATTCGTGATTATTTATGTGATCGCTTTGTATCCGAAACGATTGCTATAATCAATCTTGGCGTCAGGAAAATTCAAGAATCAATTATTAACTATATGTTCAAGAATTTCGATATTATTTTAGTATTTATACATGTTCAAGATAAATATTTTAAATGCGTAAACACGTTGCATATTTTTGTTTACGATTTTGAAACATATAAGTACAAAAATATATAGAAATATATATAAATATGCACAAAAAATAAACAAATTTAAGAAAATAAATATAATTTCGATGAGTTTAATTCTTGTTTTGTAAAATTTTATATTTTATTGTGTCAATTTTTATATTTTATTTATTTGCGGGGGATTATCATTATATGACATTTATCTCGGTTTAATGAAATGAGAGAAATACTTTTTTTTGATCCCCGAATTGTATATATATATATATATAGTGAAAAGTAATATATAAACTTTTTGTGTATACTACATATCTAATTATAATTCCGAATTATAAACATAAGTATATAGTATATAGTTATAACTTATATAGTTATATTAATAACTTATAATTATTAACTATATACATAAGTATATAGTTCCGAAAATAAAAATATGCAAATATGCATATAAAAAAATTTGCTTGATTGTATATATTATACAGCGTTAACATATAATTTTGATAATTATTTATCATTTATTAAAAATTTTTTGTGACTTTATTACACTTACTAAACTTTTAGATCTTTTTCATTATTATGTACACGTATTATATATAGAGAGAAAGAGTATTCGCTCATTTAAATTTTTTCTAATGAAAGTAAATCTAAAGAAAATTGAAAAATGTATTTATCTTTTTTCTTTTTTCGAAAATTATTTTGCGTATGATATTACTTGATTATTCATATTTCGTTAATTTTGATATAAGATATTATATTAATTTTATGTATTAACAGTATAAAACTAAAAATAATATCAGGAATGACAAAGTAACGTTTGAAAAAACGAAACGTTTATATATCACAAAAATCTTATCACATCTTAAACATAAATGATATCTGCGCTTTTAGATATTGTGAATAATGTGTTAAGTATTATTTATGCATATATATTCTAATCGAATAACTGCTCAAGTATCGATAGAACGTTTTTGCACGAAACAAAGTGCATTCGAGAATGACTGATTATGTGCCTTCTATGCAAGTAAACAGATTACATTTTTTTTGTAAATCGGAAGACGATTGAATGAATAATGTACAAAATACGTTAAGGATTAAGTTATTTCACAATTGTCGTAATAAATATAAAAGTAGTACATCTTTTTAGGGAAAATTTTAAATAGAAATATAATAACTATTTTTGAATGTAGCAACTTTATTCCAACAGATGGATAAAACGGTGTTGTGAAAATCGCTTTAAAATATAATAACTTGCAATTATAGTTTATAAGCTGCTAATGAAGATAAAAGAGAAATTCGTATTCCATTTCTTGTTTGTTTCTAAATTTTTTCCTAAATTTTTAACATGATATGTGTGATAATCTGACTGGTAGAGAAGAATTACATATGCCTGAGTCATCGAACTTTTGTAAGTGTACGGTAAATAGGCCAAAAGTATTGTTAATATATACGCCAAAAAGATTAATAATGATTTCTCACGTATATTTGTAAATAAGTTATTTGTATTTAACTTTAGTCTCACTCTTCCTTGCATTTTTACTTTTCAAAATCTTGTACAAATATTATTATTTCTCAGCATATTAAAATTAGACAATTGAATCTTCCTTTTGTTATCTAGAACTTCATAATGCCATATGTTTAAGTCCATTCTTATTATAGATTTAGATAGTTTAGATGGTCGAGTGAATGTCGCTCGTGTTCGTGATTAAATGTCAATTTTACGAAAAGATCTTAATACTTTAAATTAATTATATATAAATACTTTAATTAATTAAATATAAATACTTTAAATTAATTATATTTAATTATATATTATTAATTAATTATATATTTATTTGGCACATACAAGTTATGTCCAACAGAATAACTATATGTACAAACATTTTTGCGATTGATTGGATAAAGAAATATATCGAAAATCATTTGTATATGACGGATTAAAAGAAAAAAACAGATTTATACTGTAGAAGCTCATAATCAAGGCTTCTGTTTCTACAGAAAAATTTTTAAGCAAGTATTCTTCTTTTTAAATTATTGATATAAACTGGAACTAAATTTTACAAAGGTAAAGAAACAAGCAACATTATATCTATTATTTTCGTTGTTTATATTTACACATTTCATCGGCTCTTTAATATATATATCATTGGATACATTTAATTTAATTCATTATTTTGAGCAACCTCTTTCTCATTTCTTCTATATTTATGTTTAAAATTGAATAAAACAAAGTACTTTGTTATGAGCTTCTGGTATTTATAACGAATAAGTCTTGCAAACTTGTGCCGATTCGACAAGTGCAAATAACATTGTAATGGTATATCATATTTATCTTAATAACTAATTTGGCGTATTTGTATAAACATAGGGACTTAAAAAAATGTTCAAGTTTTCAAAAAAAATTCTTCCAGCTTTTTTCAAAACTACATCTTTAATATAAACACAGCCAAAATTATTTTTATGATTTGTACTTATTTCTGCCTTATAAAAATAAGATAAAAAAATTGGAAATTTCTTTCAAATCTTGGAATCTTTTCTTTTTTTCAGTCCCTACGTATTTATTACAAAAGTTGAAAAATGTGTGAAAATGCAAAGAAAACTTACGCGCACGTTTTGTATTTATCCGACAAATTCGATAAATTCCTTTCTGGCTACATGTGTATATTCGTATAACGAAATTACACTTGGATTTCCTGACAGAACGGAAAAAAATCACTGTCGGCGTTTCCGGAAAAATCGGATAAAGAATTATATTGGTTCGTACGCTTCTTTTTAAGTAAGAAACGCGAACCTTTTCCGGCTCCGGACAATAATATATATTCTAAGATCAGCCTTCGGCGAGCGGCGGGGTTACCCAACCATATTTTTCGTGTGTTTTCACCAGATTCTTAAATGTCTCTTCGGCCAATTGTCGATTGTATTCCTTACTTGGCTTTGACTTTCTCGATACTTGGGCCTGCAACATGAAAATAAGAATTTTACACAAATAAATACGAGATTTCCTTTTCTGAAAAATCAAAAACGTGTAAAAACATTACAAACACTTTCTACTATTAGCAAGTATTTTCAAAATTTTGCTCGTTTTTAATTGCGAAAAATAAAGCAAAAACTTCGCCAAGTTAATAGAAAAGATACCATCAAGATTCCTATTAATTTCCAGATTTAAAAGATGACAGAGAAGCTATAAGAAATTCGCGTATGATTTGAAGAAGATAATAATATTAATAAAAATTATTTATCATGTGATAAATTTATAATTATCATATTACATTATTCTATATCACACACATTATTGTAATCATATCTAATCAATGTAATCATATCATAATATATTATGTGGAAAGGATTAACTATTCAATGCAAATTAAAATCATGCTCACTTGTCCTTTCACAACGCTAGCTGCGAATTGCATGATCATCGACTCGACACTATATGCACAACACCATCCTCTCGGTGTGAGGAGTTCCATGCAGATAGCACCGCCGTGCATCACAAAGCCCTGCTCGATCCTTGGCGAGATCACTCTCATAAAAGGTGGCGCGAATGGAAACTCCTTCGGGAAGATCACATTCAACAATATATGAGGTATCTTCAGCTCACGCATATCGGCTGCCAATCTGCTGTCCGGGTCGATCTTGTGCAATCGGACGGACCACTCAAAGACATTATCGTTGACGAGCTCGGCGGTGAAGGCCGAATCACCATGACGTTGTGCTCTCTGAATCCTGTTAAATTCCTTCATCAGTCGACGCAAACCTACGTCCTTGTCGCTAGCGGTCTTGTATTCGTTATTGTCCTGTGCAAGCAGACCTGATTTGAGACTTTCGGAATATTTGAAATCCAAAAATGATTACAGGATCAAGAAAACTATTTACTTCATGCTACCATTCAAGAAAAGAGCTAGAACATCAATTTATCAAATCCCTTTCGTCTCGCAAGTTTATCGCTCAGCAACCTCTTTATAATCTTTTCACTGAATCAATCAGGAACTCCACGCACCTTTGCGGACTTTTTCATCTTGAAGAAACAATTACGATCGACATGAGTGGAATCTGGATTTTCCGGTATCGGATCGTCCACCGGAATAACGATGTCCGGACGGTGATGACGATTCAAGAGTCTCCTCGATGGTGAATTGGTCGAGCCGCTGGCTCCCTCCGGCTCCGCAATCTTATCGGAAGATCGGAAAAGCTTCCGGATAGCGGCTATGACCTTCTCCTTCGATTTCGTGGACATGGTTTAAATACCGTGTCTCACTACTCTGTATTCAAAATTTTTACTTAAAAGAAACATTCAAAACATATATATAACAAAATCATGATGATTTATTCTTGTAGGACATATTATAAAGAAGCTAAAGAAATTTATATGCAAAAAAAGGAATTCCTATAGGAGAGATTGTTGGAATAATCCGAATTATTTAAAGTATGTAGTAGATTATAAATCAAAGATTCTTGGAGGAAATTAATTAAATTTACTAATACATAACATATATAAAAAATTGGTATGTCAAAAAACGGTGATTTCTCCAATTTCCTTCACTTAGCAAACATAAAAAGTTTCATCATTTTCTATTTTTTGCATTTTCTTGGTGAAATTTTCCATTTTTCATGTCTAGGAAAAAGTTACATGTCCAGCGGTTACATAATTTTTCATGCGCGATATTATTCATAATAACAATAGGAAATCGATTAATCGTATTGATTAATTTCTCTAAATCAAATTCGCCGTAAATATTGTCACTTAGATACCTATATAACAATATGCGGATATATTGCGCATAAACATTTTTTCAATATCTTAAAGATTGCAAATTTAATGAGAAAATTTATTAATTTCTAATGTCTAGGACAAAGAAAATATTGAAAATCATCTTTACAATTGTATCTTTTACCTGTTTCCGAGTATACCTTTCAGATACATATCAAATTTTTATGTCGCACTAGTTATTCCTAACGATTAGTCTTGGAATCAGTTTCTGTCAGTCTTATTTTAAGTAATCTATTTCTTGTGAAGAAAACAGTCATCAAAAATGTATTAAAGTCTTACGAAATTTTTAGCTATCCAACTGAGCCGAATTTCACCGAATTTCACTGAGTAATTCAGTCTTACAACACTCACCCATTTCCACGTCAATCCTGTATCGCTCACGCCCGATAGACTGTCAGCGTGTGATTATTGTGTATCGTTAGCGTACACGCGAGAACGGCAAAGATGCCTCCGCTGGACATAGCGCAGTCTCCACCCTTATCGAACTGCCAATCGACGCCAGCCACGAAAACACCCGAAGGGCTTGATGTCGACGTCAATGATAGATGCTGGCGCTACCATCGAAAGTGGAAATGCCATAGTTGCAGCTCCTTTTATCGATCAAATTCCCGTGTGACTAATAGTTGCGCGCAAGCGGCAAACGTTGTTTTTTCTTTCATCAAAGTTTCTGTTTGTGATATACATTTTATTTAAATTTTAAGATATCTTAAGGATTTTATATATACATGAAAATATTCAATATATATGTATATGTATTTAAAAATGAAATATTCAAATTATTGCGACTGATTGTATTTCAAATTTTTATAGAAAAAAAAACAACTTTAGGAATTTGATGAAGAATATGTTACTAAGGTCTTAAAGGAGCAAAAATAGAAATACGCTTTATGTTGCACGAGAAATATTAGGAAAATTGAATGGAATGTGCACAAGACGCAGATTATTTATCGCAGAGTCTAGATTTACTCCGTTTATTTATTTATATATATATTCGCCCACGGCCTTACGATATATGTATTCAGGTATCTGTTAGTGAATAGAAACACCAGAATGTGTTTGGCCACATACGCGAAGACGAGCAAACACGACACATATTGGATCCATGCCCATTTCAATTCCTCCCACACACTCGGCTGATAGTAAATAAAGTTTTCCACATAAAACAATTCACCGATGACGGCCATCGCTTCGTCGCTAGAGAAACCGCTCCGCCACGTTACTCGTTCGTTGGTGATTCTGGCTGAAACTGTCGAGCGAATATAACCGTCTGTATAATTTCTTTACGTCTTTATAGCATTCGAATTTTTTGAAAAAACATCAATGTACGCACACTTTCGGTTGAAATTGTGCAATAGTAATTCGGATAGAGAATAATCGGACAATTCAACGCTGTGGTTGTACGTCTCGTAGAGACCTTCGCTACGTAAGAGTCCCTTTTGCCGTAGCTCCAAATCACCGAAAAATCGTATTTCTTGAACTTCGTGACTTAACACCTGATCGAATACACCGATAGACTCTATCATCGCTTGAATGAGGTGCTGCGTTAAAAAAAAACTGTCAAATTCGAAGAAGGGAACTTATGAGTAGCATATGCTCATGTACAATTTTACCTTTAATTGAAAATTGAAGAATAACAAGAGTCTCAGAGATTTTACTGGTTTATCCGTGTAAAAATAAGCTTCAAATTTCAACGAATCCTTTTGTCCATCGCCGTTTAGATCATTCTCTTGTATCTGCAAACAAATATAATATGATAATATAATAATTAGACATAAATATATAAACAGTATCTAAACAAACAATATAAATAACTAATTCAAAATTAAATAATCGTATTTAACGTTAAATGTCGAAGCTAAAAGCTGAACAAAATATTTATGTAAGTAGCACTGCAAATCAGGTATTTTTAATGTCGCTTATTAGGTCTAATAGAAGAGTAAAGATACAACCTTGATTAGTGTACAATGATCTTTGATCTCGTTTTCCTTGTACGTCGTAAAAGTAGAACACACGATAGGCTGTTCATAAGGATCTACTTCTGCAAGAAGTAAATACTTGTATTCGAAGTGCACGTCCGGCGTTTCCGCATGCATCCGATTTCTCATCCAGATGCCTGAAATTTTAATATATCAAAGATTATTATCGCACGCGATTTTCCAACGCGGTGATGTGAAAGTCGGGATGACTTTTACCCCCGGCATTATAGATTATAAAAAGTGGCGTAAGCAAGGATAGCACAATAAACATAAAGACGACAATCGAGGCGCAGGAGTATATCCTGCTTTTATATTTGTAAGTGACAGAGCTCGAAAATATTTCAATCGCTGCCATTATGATGCTACGCTCGTTTCCGCGGCAACGTCCACAGGTGCAAAAACGTATATAGAAGCAGGTGAACAACAGCTGATGATATGTGCAAGGATACGTCCTCACCGATGCATTTCCCCTTCTAAAGAACGCGACTTGAAAAGAGAAAGAGTATTATTTTATAAAAATAAAATATTTTCTCTGACGTATATTTTTTTAAATATCCATTTAAATTTTTGCAAAAACGATTAAAAATATTTTGAAGAATATTTCATTTCTTGAATCGCCAGTAAATTAATTGTTCTTCCCAAAAAATAGAAAATGAAAATATTTATGTATCCTTTTTGAAAGTACATGACATACCTCCGCGTTTTCGCGCCGACGTCTAATAGTGATTCGCCATCTGACTGCTGTATTTGATTGTAAATTGCAATCTTTCGAATCTTCCGCTAATTCCGAGGATTTTTCCTCCGCAGATTCTTCAATATACGTTAGCGACTTGCCGTCTACGCCGAAATTTTCGACGATGTTTTTCGGTTTCGTGAAATCAAGAGAGCCCCGTTTCACTTGAAATGGTGATACAATATATTTCCGGTTCCGTCCAAGAATAAATTTACCTTGATCTTTTACAGTGGATGGATTTTGCGCTTGCCTCGAGATATCTTCCTTTTTTAATTTGTCATTTATTTCGCTCTTAATAATAGATTCGTGACGAGCAGAATCGTCCTGGATTGAAACATCGTTCTGAATAATTACGGAAGACGTTGAGGTCCTGGAGGAAATGTCAGTGCTGGACGCCACAGAAATGTCCTCTGCGAACGACAATTTGCTTCGCGGAAAATTCGGTGGATTTTTAGACGGTTTTTCGAATTCCCTCAAGTTCGGATGGAGAGCATTGAATTTATTTGGAATTCCCTGTTTCCAAATCGAAGATTTTGCTTGACAATCCAAACTAAAACGAATATTTTATAAGCTCTTTGAAATTTATAATTTCTAAATAAATTAATTTTTGTAATTTTTATAATTTTATAATTTTTATTATTAATTTTATAATTATTATTAATTTTATATTATTATGAATTTTTATAATTTTTAAATTTCATTTTTTATAACATTTATATATTTTAAATAATTAAAATAATATTGATGAAAAATATTAATTTTTATAGCAATATAATTTATAGCAATTTAAATAAATTAATTTATGTATAAATGTTATCAAAATAAATATATCAAATTTTAATTTAAACTTATTATATAAGTTAAATAGCCCATATATTAGGAATGAAATTATTGGAAATAATTATATCAGATATTTTATATGCTACATGTTATGCAAATTAAGATATGATATTCCAAAAAATAAAACTTTAAATTATTGCGAAATAAATTATTTTGTCCAACCTTAAATCTTGATTTTTATTTATATTAGAACGCAGAGTTTTATTCGCCGCAGAATCATATACAGTTCTATCCATCCTCGTCGAGGTGAGATACGTTCCTCGTGTAATGGCAGGATTATTCCCGTTAAACGCAGATAAGGACGAGGATTGCGAAATGTCATCCGGCATCAATGACGCGTCATCGAATCTGCGTCGATTCGCGAGATCAGCTGGGATCGCGAAAAGCGCAAGCGGCACGCGCTTCACGACGAGCTTCTCGACGATGTAATCGTAATCATCGGGATCGCATCTATCGATGATTTCTCTTACGTTTGATTCGCGTCTGAAGCAGCAAAATAGTGCTTTTAAACGTTGCGCTATCCCACTCGGTCCGACATCGTGGTTTATTCGTTCCTCCTCTTCGATGGTAGAATCCACAGAATTGTCAGACATTTTAAACTTTCGCGCGATTTTTCATCGGTAATTTTATTCGAGAGCTATCCATTTCGAGTACAAAAATTCATTTCGAGTGATATCTATGCGTGATTGTTTATTCGGAAAATCAACGATAAGATTGCTGCAAGTCGTCTTTTATTTTTATTTATCGAGGTTTTTTTTATTCTCGCAATTCAAAAGAGAGATTTTTAAGGTGCAATTTCATTGACGCTAGAAACCAGCGGCAAATTAAAATCACTAGACTTTCTCTAGATATGGCGTCAATAAAATAAAGTTCAAACAGTTTCAACTTTTTCAGTGTGTAAAGCGGCCTTTTCATTGACGCTACTTTTTAGCGTCAATGAAATTGCACCTTAACAGTTGGCAGCCCTACGAGATAGGCTGTGCACTGCGCGTATATATAAAATAAATTTGAAATCGCTTCTAGCCTAACCATCTTCACGCGATCGACTTTATTTGAATTGCACGGCATCGCATCGAATGATGATGCGGCGCCGATTTGTTCGAACGTAATTCGGGACATCGCGATGCTGTATAAACGTCGAATGAGCACGAATTGTCACGCAAATATGATAAATCAAATCTACTCACCGGCTGTTCCACATACCGCTCCTCCTCGGGACAGTTCGCTCGCCTCGGGACGTCCCATTCCGATCTTGATGCACACAAACTCACACGATATCATCAACGCGAACGCGTGATACTTTATTCGGCACTCCCGATATTCGCTCGCATCCGATAATCATCATCAAGGGCGCAAATAACGCGACGCGACTTCGCTCCATCTTCGCGATCGCGCTATCACTGAACTGTGAAAAATAGCTGTCGCGCACTTTCACCGACATATTATGAAAGTCGCGCGATCATCCTTGGACACTTTCGACGCTCTTTCACTCGCGATATTCGTTTAAAAACGGTTAAAAGACGCGAAAAATGCGGACGTACGACGATCCGTGTAACTGCGTATGACTCCGATTCCCGTATGACGCGTATGACGTAGCAGTGACGTAGCAGTCACGCGCCAACATGGCGGCCGAACCAGTGCGCAGAAAAGAATGCGCACTGGTTCGGCCGCCATGTTGGCGCGTGACTGCTACGTCACTGCTACGTCATACGCGTCATACGTGAATCGGAGTCATACGCAGTTACACGGATCGTCGTACGTCCGCATTTTTCGCATCTTTTAACCGTTTTTAAACGAATATCGCGAGTGAACGAGCGTCGAAAGTGTCCAAGGATGATCGCGCGACTTTCATAATGTATCGATGGAAACGCGCGACAGCGATTTTTGACGATATTCAGTGATGGCGTCATCGCGAAGATGGAGCGAAGTTGCGTCGCATTATTCGCACCGTTGATGATGATTATCGGATGCGAGCGAATATCGGGAGTGCCGAATAAAGTGTCGCGCGTTCGCGTTGATGATATCGTGTGAGTTTGTGTGCATCAAGATCGGAATGGGACGTCCCGAGGCGAGCGAACTGTCCTGAGGAGGAGCGGTCTGTGGAACAGCCGGTGAGTAGATTTGATTTATCATATTTGCGTGACAATTCGTGCTCATTCGACGCTTATACAGCATCGCGATGTCCCGAATTACGTTCGAACAAATCGGCGCCGCATCATAATTCGATGCGATGCCGTGCAATTCAAATAAAGTCGATCGCGTGAAGATGGCTAGAAGCGATTTCAAATTTATTTTATATACGCGCAGTGCACGTAGGGCTGCCAACTGTTAAGGTGCAATTTCATTGACGCTAAAAAGTAGCGTCAATGAAAAGGCCGCTTTAAACTCGAGTTTACAATAACGCGATATTTGTTGAGTGCCTCGAAGTTTTCCGAACTAGATAATATATTGTTCATGCAAGCGACGCCATCATCACATTATCTTCATTCTTGGTTCATTTGCGAAATATTGCGGTATGTTGAGTGCTTTTGCTATTTTTTAGCAATTATTGACACGCTGAGATTTTAACGAATTGAATTTGACTTAGAATTTGACTTAGAATTTGAAATCAGGAATCTCAATCTAGGTAAATAGCAAGATAATATTCCCAATGATGTTGAGTGATGTCGATTCGTTTCGACGAGAGGATAATGGCTGCAATGTCTGAACTGTCGTGTTTTCGTATTTAATGTCTGTCGCGAGAAAGTTTCGAAAATTTATGTATCAAAGATTTAACATAGTCACAATTTACAAAGTCGAGCGAAATCACGTGTCTTGAAATGACTTCTTAATTACAGTCTTGATTCTGAGATTCTTTAATTTTCATGATAAATAAAATTTCATTAATAAATAAAATATATCAAGCCCCTAATTTTTATTATATATACGTAACAAATAGCAAATGATAGTAAATGATAAATTTATATTTATATAGCAAATGATGGTAAATGATAAATTTATATTAAACAGGACTTTGAGAAGCAAGGACTAATGGAATCGGAATCCAGACGCAAGGGCCCTAGAAGCCCCAGCGCTGATTCGGACGATTCCTCGCATGCCAGAAGAAGAAGGAAGTATGATCGATCACCATCTCCAAGACGAAGCAGATATCGCAGATCGCGGTCTAGAGATAGAAGATCTCGTTCAAGTTCTAGAGATAGAAGAAGGAAGGACTCCAGTAGATCGCAAGACAATTGGAAACAACAACCTCCATCTCAGTCCCAGAGTTCTGTACCAAATCCAAGCAATTCTACCGGTTATGTTTCAGCTGTACATAATCAATACCAGGTATAAATAACTATAGATTGCTGAACTTATATGAATAACAGTGAGGAGATATGAAACTATATCTTGTTAATATACTTGTATCGATTGATTTTATATTATATATTATTGTTTTATTTTTTTTTTATAGGCACCTCCACCAAACACGAGTCAACCACCACCACCTATATCTGCTTACAATCAGGGATATAACAACTATGGTTACAACTATGGTACGGGTTACGACTACAGTTATCAGCAGCCTGCTGGCTATCGAAGTGTAAGTTTTATTTGAAATAAGATTAATATAAATCAATGTCCTAGTTTTATTAAGAAGATAAAAGAGGGATTAATTATATATGATGTCAAAACATTGGAAAACTATGTGTATGTAAATATTCAGGCAAAGCATGTCCTCTTGTGAATTCTAAAAATTATGCACACATTTGCAAAACATTTTGAAAATAATCGTGCTATCGATTATGATTTATATTTGGTAACATTCTTATCCGTTTGGAATGTTACAATTATATTTCCCTAAACCATGACTGTGAATTCCTGAGTAAGTATATAATATCCGCGTTATTTATTTTATTTACACCAACATTGGAAACCTATAATATTGGCCAGATTGTTACACATCTCTTCAAGACTTCATGTATTAGCCAAAGTCCTCATTTGAGTACCATCCATTAAAGGTAAGGGTCGATAAGAATGCTATTGAACCACTCGAGATTGGTTGGTCGTATTTATTCTGTTAGGATTATCCACCACCCAACTGGCAAGGAAGTCAAGTGTCATATAACAGTCAGCAAGCACCACCGCCTCCATCATTGACACCTCAACAAGAATCATCGAGGCCAATTGACAGTAGCTCATCTGGTTTAGTGACATCTTTAACAAGACCTGAGGATGTTAAAAAAGAAGGTATGCAATGTTGTTTTTATTTTATAAATATCCAAATTAATACTCTTTATTGACTTGATGAACATAATATTAATATTTGCATGTTTTATAATAAAGAAGTCAATATCTTTTTGCACAATTTTTAAACTTTCTTTAAATTGAACATTTAGCAGCAATCGCAGCTGAAGTAAAGCAACAGAAAGCAACATTGGCTAAGCAGCGAGAGGAATATGTTTTAAAATCTGCTACGCTGCAACGTGAACTGGAAATTTTGCGTCAACAGTGCGACGAGATAGGCAAGGAGGGTGGACGTGAAAATAACCGAATTATAAAAGAAAATCAGAAATTGCAGGTAAATAATATATATGATTTTGTTGATGTATTTTTTATAATATTAATATTAATCTGAATTAAATATACAGGTCGAAATACAAAATAAAATGAAATCTATTCATAATGTCATTGATATGCTCACTGGCATTATTGGTGACGAAGTTACGGTGGATGACCTGAAGAGCAAGTTTAAGTTAGAATTAAGTAAGCGTTCGAGAAGTCCGAAAGAAGATTTTCCGAAAGGAAAGTCTCCTTCTCCTGATAGATCATCGGCTTCCGATACAGATAAGGAATCTAAAGCGGAAAGAGATATTAAAGAGAGAAGATCATCGGAGGATAAACCAATGTATAATTTCGTTCACTACGATCCCGAAATGCATTGGTGTAAAGTCTGCGATATCTTTCCTAAGACAGCAAAGGAATATTTAAATCATCTACATAGCAATGAGCACAAAGAGGCTTGTTTAGTAAGTAATATTTTCTAGAATACAATCACATCATAAAACCATTCTGAAATGATTGAATGCTGAGAAAATAAATTTAGAGGTTCTTTTTGTAAATAATACTTGTTACTAGAACAGGTAAAAGAAAAAAAACATATATATATATATATTTCTTTTTATATAATGAAAGAACAAATGGATTTAATTAAGGCTGTGTATATTTGTAGTTCAATCTATATTTATAACTGGATGATATATTACACAGTAATAATCACAACAAGCAGGTACTTGGTACATACTGTAATTTTTTATGTACCATATATATATCAATATTTATAAAAGAAAAGAACCAGTACCGAGTTTCTTGCATTTGATGTTAAAAGCCCGTTTTTACTATTTATATTCTATTCTTTATAATAGGAACACAAGATTGTTGATATGCCATGGCATGATCGAAATGCTGAAGGAATAGAGAAAGAAGTACCCTTTTATCCTGGACTTCCGACGAAAAGAACACCTATCAAAGGTAAGCTCAATTACAGTGGACAATTACTAATAGAACATAATTCCGTAGCTTGTGCACAGAATAACTGTGGTGTTAGGTATGTATTGAAGAAGTCGACAATTATAAGTTGCTTGAAAATTTGTTTGCCCTAAGTATGTTAGGACATTCGCGATATCGAACGTAACGTCGAACGTAACGTTATCAAAACATTAAAGATCATTTTAATTTGTGTTATATAATATGTGTGTAAAAAACATATCGTGTAAGAGTCTATCAATAGTTTGGTTGGCAGCAAGTTTTCTAGTAACATTGCAAACACCACAGCGATGCATTGGATTTTAGCTGGATTCAAGAAGCACATTTTTTGAGCAACTTTCAATCAATGTCACTTATTATTGTGTCACTACTTGTCTCTAATTTTATTTTTTGCAAATATATTTTACACTATTTAGGTATGTTCACAACTATCTTCAGGACATAGATCTATATATATGTCAAGATCTTATTAGTGGAGTGTATTACTCAATAAAAAGTAATGACATATAAGATTATAATATATCATTTGTAAAATATTTTGTGTTGTTGCTTAAAAACTGAAATGTATGTATATATATGTGTAAGTTTGGTGAAATTATGCGAAGAAAAAGTTATCACTATGATTTATAATGAACATATATGTATTATCTTTTTTTGAATATTATATTAATTTATTTATGTAACTAATTGTATCAACTGTTTGTAAAATATACTGCAAGCAATCTTTTAGATATAAACTATGTTAATAGGATTATCATATAATATAAAAAAAATTTTTTAAATATTTAAATCTTAGGAATAAAATTAAAAATAATTGTTGCAGTATATTCATACGAAAATATGATGTATATTAATTTATTTAGATATATATACTTATATGCATTATTATTTGTAATAATGTAGATAATACTTTTGTGAGAGAAATAAAAGTGATTTTTTCTTCCTTCCTTTTGTTTTTCCACAGATCATCGTGGGACTATGCAAGGAAATTTAATATAATCTGTACCTTTTATGAAACACATCTTTTAATATATTATTTTTGTTTTCAGTGACATATGAATGTTTCGTGGCAGAATATAAGGTCATTCTTTATGAACTTACAATGCTTACCTGCTTCAAAGCTTAAATAATGCTAACTGTAGAAATATTTGATTATAGGGCTACAATTCTTCAGCGCCTCGACAGCTTGGTATTGCAAACTCTGCGAATCCTGGATAGGAGATCTTCATTGTGCCAGTGTACACCTGAAGTCTAAACGTCACTCTGAAAATTTTTCTGTAAGTGATCTAAATGAGGTTAAACAAAATATAATATTAAGGATTAATATAAAAATTTTTATACTTGCAAAATAAAAGATCATATTTGCAAAATAAACTTGAAAACACAAAATTACAATTACAAATTATTTTCCAAATATAACTTTTATTAATCGAAATAGTCAAAGAATTAATATCTTAAAATCTTATAATAAAAATGATAAAAATAAGGATTCTTATAATAAAAAATAATTAATCTTGCACCAACCTGACATGTTTAATATAAATAATTTATTTGAATGTGTTGTTTACAGCGTTTTGTGGAGCAAAATCCACATTGGGAAACGGATTGGATGGCTGATCGAGAAAAGGCGTTTTCTGAAGAAAAGCATAAGCAAATACAATTAGAGTTGCAAAAGCAAAAAGACGATGATCCACCGACAAAGTCAAAGAAGTCTAAGAAGAACAAGAAAAAGTCGAAGAAAGCCAAGAAACGCAGAAACAGAAGCAGTGCTAGTGATACATCCAGTGAGTCGGAAAACTCTGATACCGAATCTGATCAGGATACTACCAAGAGTATACGCGTAACGATGCGAAATAAGATGAAGGCTTCGACACAGGCGATCCTTAATGAAGAAATAGATTATCAGCGTATAAAGTTGAAGGGACACAATTGGTCGAAGGCGCCACAAGTGAATCAATCACCGCTGCCCGAGCAACATCCGTCAGAAGCTGATGACAGGCAGCTTTTAAATTCGATCAGAGATAAACTAAAAGCCAAACAGGAAGAGGAAATGAAGAGTCGCAAAGTAAATCAAGAAAAGACGATGGAGGAAGAGGAGGAAGACTTACAACAGGAAAGTTATTCGAAGAAATCGGAGGATTTGGAGGCTTGGGGACCAAAGGAACCGCCTAAACCATTCTGGATAAAGAAGGAAGAAGAGAAGCAATCACAGCAGTCAATCACGAATAAACCAATCGAGTTACCGAAACCGGAGGAGATGCCGAAACCGCATATGGGATTTTGGACGAAACAACAGGTAAATATGACAGTAAAGCCGCCTGAAAATAAATCAATGGATAAAGAGGATGAAAGGGATCGCGATAGAGATCGCTACAAGGACGATCGCGATCGCAAGTACAGTAGCAGATACGAGAGAAGAAGTCGGCGAGACAGGGATCGTGACAGGGATAGAGAAAGAGATAGAGATCGAGAGCGTGATTATTATGACGATCGTCGAAAAAGAGATAGGGACAGAGATAGCAACGATTCTCCGAGACGTGACAGAAGTTGGCGCGACAGTAGTCCAAAGAGGAACTATGATAAGTATAGCAAAGACAGACGGGGGGGAGATGACAATTCGTCGAATGACGAATCCAAGTTTGAAAAGAAATCGAGCGAGTCCAAATCGAAGAAAGGCAGTGTTTTGAGCAAGAAATCCGCACCACAGGTAGCGGCCAAGGGCAAATTACCCTTCATCGGCAGGTTACCTTTGTTCAAGAAGAAGGCTGAAGAGCCCAAGTTGCCGGAGAAAGATATTACTCCGTTACCCTATCAACAGAGCAAATTCGAGGATACGCCAAAAGTACCCAACGAGATCATCAATCCGCCGGGTGTCGTGCATATCACCAAGCTAGCTACTCCTTTGAATTTGAATAATAATGGCAGCGCAACGATGCCATTAACAAACAAGACCATTAATCAGCCTATGAAAATTTTAGTAGCACCTCCGCCGCCCGTGTTAAACGAGAGCAAACCCACGCCACAAGTGGTCGATATGGAAATAGATGATCAATCCGAGGAAACTGTTATAGAGGAACAGCCGATAGTGGAGCAACAGAAGCAGCAACAGCAAACGTCAAGCGTATCGAAACTGCCGCTACCGCCGCATCCACCACCGCCATTGAATAGACCACCGCCCAGCTTTACTCCAAATCAGCAACAACAATCAGTCGTGCACAATAGACCTCCGCCGACGCCAGTACAAAGTACACCTCCACAATTTACACCAAATCGACCGCCTCCACCATTTATGTCGAATCCACCGCCGTTTGTTCAGACGCCACCGAGATTTCCTCCTCGTCAGGCTGTACCACCGCCTGCTGCTTTTATGACTACTCAGCCGCCACCGATACCGAGCGCCGCGGGTTTCGTGCAAACCCATCCACAAAATCCACCTCCACCGCCGCCACCATTACCGTCGACAATAGATTCGAGCGTGACAGCTACACCGTCACATTCCGATGTATCCGACATACCGGAACCATCTGAGAAACGTCCGGCTGACCCAAGCATTCCGTTGCCAGATGATTTGCAAGAGGCTCTAAACATAATCTTCCCTAAAGAAGAGACAGCAGAGACCAAACAGCAGCAACAGCAGCAGCAGAATCAGCAAGAGTCTAGTCTCATGTATTCATCGATGTACAGTATGTTGGGTTGCGTTGGATACGGACCTGAGTATATGGATCAGCCGCCACCCGAAATTATGCAGGAGGCGGAAACTGAAGCAGATACTCAACCCGGACCTGATGATCTTCGTATGTTAGGCATCGATGAAGGAGATACGATCTTATAAATCATGCTCGTAAAGCTTTCCTTACCGGTGATAGAGAACATTCACGAGACTTGTATTAATGAAGAGATTCTTTTACTAATAATTTACACACATGAGGATTTCCTACTCCACATTAGAAAGAGTAGATTCGTTATCGTTGATCTGTCATTTCTCACTTGTCTCGATCATGTTGTACGATAAATACTTCATCAATAACTATCAATTACATAACTATCTTAAAAACAAATATGTGATAAAAAATAAACAAAAAAAGCAAAATGGTTACAACAAAAGATCCTAAAATACTATAAGTACAAGTGATGCGTATGGTCTGTAAAGATTACTTAACGATATGCAGTAAAACTTAACGAATATTGTCCATTAGATAGTGGTATTTGTTATTTTATTAGCATTTCGTGATTTTTCTCGTAATATATGAATTTTCTTTTTAGTATTATAACATTATTCGCAAGTTAATATCGGCGAACATTAGGAATAATTAATATGTAATTGCTATCTTAAGTTTCAATCATATATTAACAAATTGTATTTCAAAAAACACTCGTTGAAAATCTGCAAGTAATCTGGACAATCTAGCGTTATCGGATGTTATAAATTCGTTATGTACATCAAAGGACGAGAAATGTAATATTAATAAAAAGAAAACACACACTGTCATCCATCGTGTATCAGTATATATTAAATATTATACTTTGATATTTGCAAATTGGTAACTTTCAAATTTGCGCCGTATATACATATAATATAATTCCAAACGTAAAACAAACATTGTTGACATGTCATTTGGGATTTTTATATATGAAACTCATAGGGACATAAACAAATTAACCGCACTATACTGCAGATGTGAAGTTATCTTACAAATTAAATATATGAAGATAATATAAACATTTTGAATAATTACAACCCAATAGTATAAAAAATTGTTACAATTAACAAAACAATTTCATCATGTTTATATCATTAAATCTGAAGATATTTTATTGTAGGAATTTTTATGCATTAGTGCGGATTAGTTTCGCTAATAGAGACTCTTTAATATTGGAATGTAAAGTTACTAATGGCTACATATGACTTTTTTCGTAATTTAACATTTTTTTAATAAATATAATCACTTCTTCTCTCTTCGTTACTCTCTTTAAACTTTTTTTTTAAAAGAAGTTCTTACTTTAATCTTACAATCAGTTTCTTAAGATAATATCACATTGCATTTCGTTTTTTTTAAAGTCGCACAATATATTGTATCTAAGAATCTCTATTGATGCATAATTGTTGAAACTATTGCTGTCGAAATACATGTTATTAAATTGTTAAGTATTAATTTCTATTCCGAATTTTCAGTATTTTCAAAAACTTTAACAATGATCATCTCGTTAATTGTATTTTTATGAAAACATTTAATCGACCACAGCGTACTGCGACTAGCTTATAATGTTAGACAGTACTGGACAGTACTAATATATACAACTTTCGATTAAAATTTTTAAATGCGAAGTAACAAAAATTAGGTTACAAATGCGAGAGTAACAATATAAATGTTCATAAACATCGATATTAGTACCAAAATCGCTTATTAATCGTAATATAGGCAAAGTGTTATAATATGATAAAATGCACACATACAAGTGCTTAGAATTAAATAATGCTTTACATCCTTCAATAGTGTATAACAGTCATATGAGTGTCCAGTCTCTAATTTTCATTTTGAATGGAATGTAAAAATCATTGTGGAATAAGCGTCAATCATTTACACGATCTTCGCATGCTACAAATGTGAATAAAGGCCTATTTTAGGATTTTGATTCGCGCGTTTACATATACACGGTGGGGGAGGATGAATATGATTCGTAATACGATCACTACTTAAAAACTTAACGTTGTATCGATAAATCCGTATTTCAGATTTGAAGTACTAGGCCTGCGCTGGAAATATTGTCTCCGCCACCAGCTGTCTGACTAGCTTCTGTGCAAACTAATACAGGCGCGACGCACACCTGAATAGGAATATCTTCCTGCTCCATCTTCAATATCTCATCCCAACAAGATACCGGTTTGTCGATGTTCAATGATATTCGTGTACCATCAACAATAGATGTCGAGAAACTATCGTCCATGATTAGCGTCGCTTTATTCACATCGACCTGCATCAAAATGGAAGCATTTCAAAATCATCAAACATGGGATAACGTAATATATTTTAATATATTTTAAGTAGTACAAGTAAGCTAAAATATCTAACAACATGATTTCTAATCTTTTTCGAAAGAGAAAATGAATTTGATAACTGTAGCTTTGTGAGTTAGATAAATATTTGCAAATAATTTCTATAAATTCTTTATTTCGCTTCATATTTATATGAATTCTTATGATACTTACATTACTTGATGCGCATACATGCCTATGTGCAGTTAGCGACGCTTTAGCCGCAGCAGCCATTGTATTTTTCCAGATAGAATTCTTGACAGTGAATATAGCTTGATATGCCAGCGTGTGGACGTGAATCCTCGTGAGCTCCCTAGCGTTCGTGATCGACTTGCTTCTCAAACGTATAAGCTTGAATAACGTCCTCATCTGATCCAACACTGTCGCGACGCGCGGAGTTGAATCGGCGACCAGTGAAATGTTGCCGTAATACATAGTATTGTACAAATTCGCTATTTCCTGCTCGTTCATTCCCAAACTATCAGCGAACGGAACCACCAGATCGCACAGTTCAAAGAGCAATTTATCCTCGGCGAATGAAGCCATCTCAAAGTGAATTTTGGTAGAACTCAACCGCTCCAACATTTGTTTCTTCACATTCAATAGCAAATTCTTCCGCTCACCTGGAAAGTATGCACGAAACATGTTTAATGCGAACTCGTGAATGGAAAAGAAACTGTAATAGAACTGTAACAGAAAAATTACCTTCCTGAAATGGATAATTGTCCATCATTTGGAGGCCACTGATTACTAGTAAATCGGGGTCATAGGTCCTCAAGATTTTGTCAAAGGCATTGAATGAGCTAATCAATGGATTATTCATATCGTTGTGGATAATGTACCTAGGAAAAAGCACATGAAAAAAATAGAGTGCAGTTCTACAGTTTATTTGTATGTATATATTTATCCATTAAAATACATACCTGTTTGCTCTCGCACTAGAATAAGGACCCCACACCTCGCCATGCTTATATTCCAAGATGAGATGAATATCGTCGCGTTTTACCTCGCCACCTACAACATTTATCACCTGCGGAATCATCTGATGTAAGGACTTGGTCAACTTTGCTGCGAAGGTTACATCGCATCCCTCTCGCGCGAATCGCATCGCCATGACTGCAGCATTTCCTCCGATTGTCGAATAAGACGAAGAAAACGAACGCGCCTTCGACACCAGCTCGTCGAATAAAGTTCTATTTGCCATGTAACGCCTGCAAAAAAAGTTTGTTTTTCAGCAAGATAGATACATCAAGATTATAACGATATGCAATATATAATATAATTTATGCAAAAAAAACATTTATTTAATTTTGAAAATGAGTTTATAAAATAAGTTTAGATTGATTCTATCCATTTAACTGCCTCGCAGAAAGCACATTTTTTTCTCCAATTGCAATTTATATCTATAGATAATATTAACGTAATATAATAATTTTATTAATATATCGAGATATATTTCAATAATCCATATATTCAATTATTAAATGCGTGACTTTAATATACTTATATATTTTTATATACAAGACATTCTGTTAAAATAAAAGAGGAATTATCAGGTCAGAGCTTACTCGGCTGCAGCCCCATGGCGAAAATAATAGGCGAAGCTCTTGAGCAATTCGAGCTCGGTGTTGATCTCGTCAAAGTGTTCAGGCCGACCGACCTCATCCGAGTACTTCAGCAGGTGTCTCGCGTCGATGAAGACGTCGGTGCACACGCCATAACCTATAGCGACTTTCGGCTTCCTAGTAATGACGTGTTTATTCTCAAGTTTCTCGAGGCCGTGCAACAGGGTTAGCAGTCGTTTTTGCAGGACGTTTTCGTGGTTACGATAATAAATCGCCGCGAGTACAATTACCACGGTGAAAAGGGTCCCGAATCTTAACCCTCTTTTATACCCCATACTGCACACGATCGTTTACACACGGACACCACAGTCACACCACACGCACAACGCGCAACTGATAACTGATCGCTATGTATACGCATGTATGATATCATGATAGGAGATAAAGATATACATATAGAAATTTCTACCTAAAGTATCCGATAACTTTATAATTGTCGTATTTTATATCAATTTGAGGTGAATTTCTTGAATTTCCTGTGTCAGGAAATAAAAAAATTCTATTTTTATTATTTACTCTATTTATTATTTTTTTATTTACATTTATTTAATCTCTCTCTTCCTCTATATTTCATTCTTTCTTTAAATTAATCTTTTGATATAGAATATTATACCAGAATTAAAACTTAAATAAATTTATCAAATTTTGTGATGGATGTTTTTAAATTATTTGGTGAACAATAAAGAAAAAAAATATTAATTTGATAATATTGTCTCTCTCTCTCTCTCTCCCTTTATATAAATATCTCTTTAATAATGATAGAATAATATAATTTTTTTATTACAATGATTTATTTTTAAAAAATGATGTATGTAACTTATATTTTGTATACTACATAATTAATCCTTCTATTAAATATTTTTCTCTCTACTAAGTACACATATTAATGTATAAAAAAGTCTATATTGTAAAAATTTGTCTACATATAGTAAATATTTTCACACACACACACACACACACACATACACACATGTGTATTTGTTCAAAAATATCTTATAGCTACATAGGTATAAAATTTGTAGCTTATATATCACACCAAGCAAGAAGTATAAAATTTAAAATATAAATATCAAAATTTTGCAATAAACTATTCAAATAAAAGAGAAAATATTGTACAATTATACTTCGCGCGATATACATATAATACATATAAAAAATGCTTGAAAAATATTACATTAGCTAAAATATATATCATAAACAGTGTATAGATAAAATTATAAATGTAACTAGTAATGATATAATTATAAATATAATTAAAACAATATTAAAATATCAGGTATAATACAAATAATTCTTCATAACAATTGCAATAACATTGTATAATAGAAAAATCTAAAATACTTTTTGATTCATCCACAGTAAACACATCTCTCTCATTACTTCAATCATCTCAATAGCTATGAGATTATCATTTTCTTCTATAGGAACTTCTATAGAATCAATAATTTGATGAAATTTAGGAAGCTACACATAATAAAGTTTTATACGTGATATAATACTCATAAATAGAGCATTCATCTAAAAAATATAGATTCAGCTCAGAAAAGATATTTGACGTGATAATCTGTATGAAACTTTTCTTTCATTAGCTTTCCAGAATTTACATTCTGGTCTCTCGAGAGGAAAGACTAATTCGGTTCTTTAGAAATTCTTCATATTTCTTACTCCTTGTTCTTTGTGTGAAGACGCATGTGTTTTTTCAGGTTGTCCAATCGATTGCATCGACGATCGCAATAGTCGCACTTGTAGGGCATCAGATTGCTGTGCACAACGACGTGACCGTTCAGATGACTGATCTGCTTGAAGCGCTTGCCACAAATGGTGCAGGCGTACGGACGCTCGTTCATGTGCGCGGACGAGATGTGCGTCTGTAGATTTGTCTTCCTGACGAATGTGGCCTTGCACACATCGCATTCAAACGGTCGTACATTCGCGTGGATCGCCAGATGCGACTTGAGCACGTTCTTGTGCTTGAAATTCTTCTCACACAGATGACACTGGAACGGTCGTTCATCGTTGTGTACCTTTTTGTGCACCGATAAATGCGCCAGCTGCTTGAACATTTTGGCGCAGATCTCACACTGATAAGTACGACCATCCTCGTGTGCGGCGCTCACGTGACGGCGCAGAGTGTCTGCCAAAGTGTATCGTTTGCCGCAGATTTTGCAGCAATACGGACGTTCGTTGGTGTGCGTCAGCAGATGACCGTTGAGATTGCGCTTCTCCAGGAAACGCGCACCGCATACGTCGCATTGATACGGTTTCTCACCATTGTGCACGTACATGTGCTTCTTCAACGAGTTCGATAAGCTGAAACGTTTCGAGCACACGGTACACTGAAAGCGGCGCTCGCCTGTATGGACTAGCATGTGCGATTTTACGTGGCCAGCCTGCTTGAAACGTTTGCCGCACACCTTGCAGTCGTATTGACGTTCCTGCGTGTGTGTAAATATATGTCGTTCCAGCACGCTCTTCGTCGTAAATACCTTTTTGCAGTTGTCGCATTCAAATAGACGATAAACGTCACGGATCTTGGATGTCGTCGTTGTCGTTATTGTTGTCGTGTCACCTTTATGCGAATGCGCGTGTTGCTTCAGCGAGTCTAGCGAATCGAATTTTACGCCGCACACCGTGCACTGGAACGAGCGATAGTCGTGATGCGTTAACGAGTGCTGGCTAAGGTGGCCTAGCTGCTTGAAACTCTTGTTGCACACATCGCACACATACGGTCGTTCGTTCGTATGCGATCGCATGTGCCTCTCCAACACGCTGGGAAAGCTAAACTTTTGCTCGCAATATGTACACTGTAAAGTAGATTGCGATTTCGACACGCTCCGACTCTCCGCAGACAACTTTCGTCTACCAGTATGACTCGAGATCTTGGCAGTCTTGTTATAGGAATTTTTCGTATCATCTAGTAATGCGTCGCAACCTTCATCCGTTGTCTCGGGATCAGAAATTTCGTTATATGTCCGAATCTCGGATCTTTCTTCATTGGAAACGGTCGTTACCGTGTCAGCAGTATTGCTTCTGGTATTTCTTCTAACTGGTACCTCCTCTTCCTCATCAGCTTTAATCAATTTATCTTGTCCATGCGACTGCTTCATGTGCTTCGAGTATAATCTTGGGACACTGAATGTTTTATTGCACAACTTGCATCGGAGAACTCGTTGCGCTTTATGAGTTCTCATGTGATTCTTCAAATGTCCCAGCTTCATGTATCGCTTTTGGCAGTATTTGCACTTAAGATATTGTGTATTGTCATCGATCTTTAATTCATTTTTTTCTGCTTCAATTTTATCTCTATTTGAATCTGTTGCATGCACATTGCTCGTGACAGATTCATTCTTTATATTGACAAAACTAAACCCATTTACGTCGTCGTTTTTCGAAAATGTTTTTTGACTGCATGTATCTTGTATGTTATCATTTTCTTCACAATACTGAAACATTCAAAATAATAATTAATTATAATAATACATTGATAATAATAACATTATACATTAATATTATTACATTGATACTATCCGATATCCTTTGTGTGTCTTTTGTAACTACATCTTTATTTTTTCCATGTGACAAATATTCAATCCATTCTTCCTCTGTCCACAAACTCTCTGTATCCTTTTCTACATCAAAGTTTTGAAAGTTTTCACGTATGTCTCGTCCGAATAATACATCGCATGGAACTTTACCATTCTGACTGCGGTATGTTGAATTGTGAAGAATCTGTATAAAGTTCAGTCCTTCACACCAGGTCTTGGTAGGATTCTTCCTCATCCAAGATTCAAGCAAGCTTTTAAAATCCCTGCAGCTAACTTCACACTTAGGTACATCCCCGTGCAATATGAGGGAATCATTCCATAGTAAACGCAGTTCATGTACAACTTGTTCAGCAAACTTACGTCCATTACCACTCTGTAGTACTCGTGGTGCCCCTATGATCGCCAATACATCTAACAAATTCTTTGCAACTTCTTCAGCTGTATTGTTGCAGAGAGCTCTTAGTACAACAAACTTGGATGGCTGATTTTCGTAAACAAGAAAATATTTATAGTGGAATGTTGGTTCTACTGTCATTTCTATTATATCAATGCGACCTCTATTATACAATCTCTCAGAACTCTCAATCAATTTTTTAGGCGACTGATTTAAAGGGCTTGTTTGACAAGGCTGAAAATAGTATATAATTTAAGTCCATTATATATTAGAGCTATATACAAACATGAAAAGTTAAAGATTAAGACTTACATCCAAATGGCTACTTTCTTGCTTGATTTCCTTATCCTTCTCTTTAGAGGAAACTTGCAAGTGCACGACTGTATTTTGTACATGTTGTGAGTTTAATGCACTTTCAAAGTATTCTGTTTCCTGTTTTACAAATACAAAACTGCGTTGATTTCGTTCACCTGGCAGCAAATGATCCAAGGAACTTCGCACATATGCATTTTGTGGCATCCATTCTACACCTAACGGCATTTCTTTATTCATTCTTATTTTTGTCATGTGTCGTGTTCAACGTTGTTTCTTTTTGTTACTCGATGCTATTTCCTACAATTTATGCAATTTATTAAACGAGCCGATTTGATAGAAAAAAACCGGCATATCTTATAAATCTTAATCAGAAAATTTATTTTTCATATTTATTGCAAAATATACGAGTTTAATTGAAAAATTTTTATTCTTTCGCATATTATCTCCACTTTTTCCGCACGTCAATAAACTTCTTAATTAGAAAGATTAGCAAGCCGGCATAATAGAAATATTAATTGATTCTCGAACGAATCATTAACCTGTAATATGTCATGCAATTCCAACTTACATTAATTCCTAGAATTACATTCGTCTGATAAAATCATACAAATAATTGCCCCGTATTCTTTCACATATTTTCCACTTTATTTTGAGAAATATATCACGATACGTTCGATTTTATGTTTAAAGCTCGGATATGTCAATTTTTAGCGGTTGTTGGCATAGTATGGAAATTTATTGTCTACACCTCAAAGCACGTTTTCATGACATTCCGTCATAAAAGTTGATTAGCTAGAGAGGTAACTAGCATTATTATGCCGTTTGACAGTGGGTCTGTTCTTTTCAGCTATACAGCGGCCTTTTCATTGACGCTACTTTTTAGCGTCAATGAAATTGCACCTTAACAGTTGGCAGCCCTACGAGATAGGCTGTGCAGCACTGCGCGTATATAAAATAAATTTGAAATCGCTTCTAGCCTAACTATCTTCACGCGATCGACTTTATTTGAATTGCACGGCATCGCATCGAATTATGATGCGGCGCCGATTTGTTCGAACGTAATTCGGGACATCGCGATGCTGTATAAGCGTCGAATGAGCACGAATTGTCACGCAAATATGATAAATCACATCTACTCACCGTTCACCGGCTGTTCCACAGGCCGCTCCACTCGCTCGCCTCGGGACGTCCCATTCCAATCTTGATGCACACGATATCATCAACGCGAACGCGCGACACTTTATTCGGCACTCCCGATATTCGCTCGCATCCGATAATCATCATCAAGGGCGCAAATAACGCGACGCGACTTCGCTCCATCTTCGCGATCGCGCTATCACTGAACTGTGAAAAATAGCTGTCGCGCACTTTCACCGACATATTATGAAAGTCGCGCGATCATCCTTGGACACTTTCGACACTCTTTCACTCGCGATATTCGTTTAAAAACGGTTAAAAGATGCGAAAAATGCGGACGTTCAACGATCCGTGTAACTACGTATGACTCCGATTCCCGTATGACGCGTATGACGTAGCAGTGACGCGTATGACGTAGCAGTCACGTGCTAACATGGCGGCCGAACCAGTGCGCAGAAACGAAGGCGCAGTGGTTCGGCCGCCATGTTAGCGCGTGACTGCTACGTCATACGCGTCATACGTGAATCGGAGTCATACGTAGTTACACGGATCGTTGAACGTCCGCATTTTTCGCGTCTTTTAACCGTTTTTAAACGAATATCGCGAGTGAAAGAGCGTCGAAAGTGTCCAAGGATGATCGCGCGACTTTCATAATATGTCGGTGAAAGTGCGCGACATCCGTTTTCGACAATTCAGTGATAGCGCGATCGCGAAGATGGAGCGAAGTCGCGTCGCGTTATTTGCGCCTTTGATGATGATTATCGGATGCGAGCGAATATCGAGAGTGCCGAATAAACTGTCGCGCGTTCGCATTGATGATATCGTGTGCATCAAGATCGGAATGGGACGTCCCGAGGCGAGCGACGTTGAGGAGCGGTCTGTGGAACAGCCGGTGAGTAGATTTGATTTATCATATTTGCGTGACAATTCGTGCTCATTCGACGCTTATACAGCATCGCGATGTCCCGAATTACATTCGAACAAATTGGCGCCGTATCATAATTCGATGCGATGCCGTGCAATTCAAATAAAGTCGATCGCGTGAAGATGGTTAGGCTAGAAGCGATTTCAAATTTATTTTATATACGCGCAGTGCTGCACAGCCTATCTCGTAGGGCTGCCAACTGTTAAACGATAAATTTTTTCGATCTAACCTAACCTAACCTAACCTTTCAGTGCTTTGGATGTCGAATGTAAACACAAGCGTATGCTGCCTGGATTTTATCATGCTTTCAAAAATAATATTTAATTATTTCATTAGTGTATTACATTTTATTACGTAGTATATTAATCGTATTAAATGCGACGTACAGTTTTACACATTTTAATGAGAAGCATATAATATAATTGGTTAGGTTAGATTAAATTAAAACAAGCTGCTGTGATTCATTTAACGTAATAGGATTAATTTGACGAATGTGCAGCTATTGAAGTTACATGATATTTGTGGACACATTTTTAAAGTAATCATGAGTGTCTTATCTCATCTTGATTATATGAAATTAAAATATAAAATATTTATGTATTCCACATTAATGTTATTCATTACAAGTACAATATTACTTTTCATATATCTCAATCATATTTCATCGATGAAGCTTTTCATATATCGCAGACAATATGATACTGTGTGTGGAATTTTACACAGGTAATACATGGCACAGCAAAATAATTTGTTCTCAAGTATCATGCGCATTTCTCAAAAATAAATCAAATTAAATTATTTTAAGTAGGATCCAAAAATCACTACATTGCCAGGATTGTATCTTATTATAACTGCAATATTATCACCTTTTAATATTTATATATAACTGCAATATTATCACCTTTAATATTACCTTTATCTTATTTATAATATTTATGATATAAAAGAAAATTGCAACTCTAATGAAACAGAGTGGTGGAATAATTGGTTGATACTTATGCTGGTCTACAATATTTATCCTTTTTTCGTCATTAGATTTTTGGTGCTTTTTTTTATTATACAAATGTTATCTGTAAATATAGTACTTGTAATGTTGCTTCTGTATCACTGTAAGCACACAAAAATGATAGCATTTGCAGGTAATTATGTTATACTTATATATCATAAAGAAGAGAAAATAAAATTAAAGTTGAATACTGAATGTGCTCTAAAGTAAATCTCATCTAAATAAATAAATGCATAAATGTGCGCCCCACATTCCTCATGAAAAAAATACATAATATTAATTTTTATGTATTATTATATTTTTAGATTTTTATTCTTTTAAATTCTCTAGATGCACTTTTCATTTCTCCTCTCTTTCTTTCAAACTACTAAATATAGATCTATCATTTTTAATATAGATCTGTCATTTTTAGTGTACATTATTGCAGTAAGTGGAATAAAGAGCAAATCTTTTGGCACATTTAAAATGTACAGGATAGTTTTATCTGATGCATTTTTTTCAATAGAAATATCTGAAAAAAATGCATACGTTTTTTTTAATCTTAGTCTTTCTAAATAAAAATTAGAATAATAAATTTGCAAAATAATTTGCTTTAATATATTTTTATTGCAAACATATGAAGCAAAAGTGCTCAAGGTGCATCACTATGAAAACATCGATAGAATAAAAAATAGATCGCATACAAAAAAATTAAAATATTTACATTACATATTTGATATTTCTGCAAATATTTCCATTATTTTGAGATTGATTTGTTTCATGATATATTGCAATAATTAAAGTATGATTTCTGATATAATCTGCCATGAGACTGCAGAGAAAGCCAGCTTTAATTCTTTATTTTGTTCAATATTTTTAATAATATAATAATTAAATTAAAGTTCTATGAAAATATGCTTGAAATACTAAATAAAAAAGATTGTTTGTTATGTACAACTTTATACAGTTTAGGTAAACAAAAAATTATTGTTAATAATACATATATAAATTGATAATTAAATAAAACAATTAATTAATTAATCGACACAATCTACGTTTTTTTTAGCTTTATGTCTAACATATACATATATATATATAATATATATATATATATATATGTGTGTGTGTGTGTGTGTGTGTGTGTGTATTTTTATAAATAAAAAATGTTTCTTTCTAATATAAATTAAATAAAAAGTATAATATGCCTTTAAATACTTTATATTCACACCTATTGCAATAAACCAACCAAAGAATGTTTTTACATTCCTCCTTGTACTTTGGCATACATATCCTTTATGCCAATTATCTCGCAACATGCTTTTATTGCATGATGACAAACAAGCCCATTATCCTTCATGAATTTTCTTTACAAATATTTTTATATTCTCAAACTGTGTAAAGAAATCATGTAACACTGAAAAATACAAAGTGATATTAAAAGAGAAGAAATAAATTTTATATTATATAGTATTGACAAGTATTTTCTTACCAGTGTGTTCCTTATATGTAGGAATATACATTAATCTTTGACCAGCCCTATTTTTAATCGTAGGGATGCTTTGGCTTTTGATAACACAAATCCAGCCAATCCATTTCCATTCCCAGTTACTATAAATGAATTGATTTTAGTCTTACGTGCTAAATTACTGGTCATACAAGTTATCATTTTGTTTTCCAAAATCCAGGTTTCAAAACTTTCAAATTTATCTGCAGAAAACAAAGATATTAATTATATAAGATTCTAATATTTAGAACTGAAACATCAAAAAAAAAAAAAATTGAAAATAGACATCATATCACATGATTTTTGTATGTGTGTAATTTAACCATTATAATCCAATAATAGCATAAATATTAACCTTTTCCAATAAGATCTGATTCAATGCTTCTGTCATCCATTGTAACATTCCTCCAACCATATTCCAATGGCGATAATTTTATTTGCATTGGTCTGGTTTTGTCTGACTTTGTGGTAATTCCATAAATCTGACTTTGTGGTAATTCCATAAGTTTTTGCTTTCTTTCAAGATTTACAAGCAGTTTCAGCTGTTGAATTAATTCTTTTCCTCTAAACACAGAAGTGTTCAGACCAGGAAATTGTATTGGAATTTTTCCCATGCCAATAATTTGCTCCTTATTTAGGTCTCTCTTTTCACTACTCTTCTTGCTCTACCTCTGCGTCTTCCTGCATTACTGATACTTGTCACATCCTTTCATAATTCATCTTCAGGTCCTATAGAACAAAAGCACAGTGAAATACAAACTATTTTCTACTGTAAATATAAACTATTATCAAAATGCTATATCCATAAAAGTTCTACTTACTATTCGCAAAGAACATAGAGTTTCTCACATTATTTAATAAAGTGACTATTTTTAATAAATGTGAATGACTGACAAGCAATAAATTAAACAATATTAAACAATAATATATACCTGAAAAAAATTTCATAATTTTATTAGAATTAAATTGATAAATTAATTTTAAATACATATTATATGTTAATTACATATAATGATTTAGAGACAATGATATATTTCATTTGCGTTACCATTGTTTACAGATTGAACATTTTTATCAAAATATTTACAACTCTACAAATATGTAGCATACGACAAGCCATTTTTAAAATCTATAAAACAAACAACAAAATTGTTCATAGTTTTCACTCTGTTTTGTCATAGTCTGCTTTTAGGCGATCTCTGAAAGCAATGCATCCTATAAACAAAAAAATATAAACATGAACTACGTAATCAAATCTACGAATGTTTTCAATGGGTAACATAATTTCGGATTGTATTCCATGCCTCGTACACGAAATGTCGATAACATAAGTAACGCAAAACGTTTGTATATATTAAATAAATTTGTAATATAAATAAGTTTTGTGATCTCTCTCTCTCTCTATCTATTTATCTATCTATCTATCTATCTATCTATCAAGTATAATTATTAAAATATATTACCCGATATTATATTATATTATATATTAATCACATTATCTATCACCACCATCGCCATTATTATATGTAATTTAATATATACTACCGTTTAATTAAAAAAATATTTGCCTCAATTAATTTCAATCAGAAAGAAGAATAAGAAACATTATAGATCACTTGGATAATTCCTAAAGGCAATACGCCCTCTGAAATAAAAACGTGGACATGAACTACGAAGCTAAATAATGAATGTTTTCAGTAGGTAACATTATTTTGGATTGTTCCGTTGTTAACACAAGTATCGATAATGCAAAACGCTAAATTTTTAATACAAATCTAAAGTTTTGGGTGGTCTTTCCCTCTCTGTATTAATAATATAATTAATTATTAGTATATTCCTTGATACAATATATTAATCACACATCATCCATCATCACCATCGCCACCGCCATTTTTACGTGATCTTTATCACAACGGTTCATCATTGAAAATAAATTATAACACAAAAAATATTCTAGTTTATTTTTAAATATTATTTTTAAATATTAAATAATATAAGTATTAAAATTAAAATAAAAAATTGGCTCAAATAATAATAATTAAAAATTAACTAAACAATTGATAACTAAGAGCCAATAAAAAGCGCGATAACTGGAGCACAAGAAAAATCCTTTCTCTTTTAATTATTAATATATTTTAAATTATTAGTATATTTCAAATTACTCGTCACAATACATACAATAAATATGAACGTTTCGGATTATCTTTTAATCTACCTTCAACGTGACATTAATATTATTACACATTCGAAAATATTAGACAATGACATATGAAAAATTATATAAATCAGATGCAGATAGCATTTGTAATATCTGCATGCCGATTATGAAACGATTTATATAATTTCATATTTATTCATATTTATATAATTTTATATGTTATTGTCTAATATTTTTTAATGAGTAATATAATGATACGCCGTTAAATTTCTTTTCTAGATGCAATCGCGATCAACACCGAAAATTATTTATTATAACTATATGATTAATTAACTTTTATAAATAACACATAATTAATATCTATATACAAATCGCGACAAAAATTCTCTATCGCATTTAATCGTAATTTATTCATTTAATCAACTAAGAATTATAGTAACAGAAATCTAAAATAATAAATTATTATTTCGATATGAAATCGATTTTTACGAGCAGAAATTATTTCTTTAGTATTTATAGATATTTATAGAATACAATATATCTGCGATGCTTTATTTTTCAATTATTGAAATATTTTGAATTGTGAGAACGCACAATAAAATAATTGAATCATGAATCTAAACATAATGAAAGACTTCATACATCAATCTTTTAATAAATAATCCTATAATTAAAAAATCTATGTAATCTAAAATACTGTTATATACTTAAATATATTCCATATATACATATATGTATATATTAAAATACGTAAAATATTTCGATGACGAACAAACAATAATCGACCTTGGTGCCGTAATAGCGCGCTAATGTTTATATGCTATAGTCTTGTAAAATGTTTCGATAAAAAAATAATAACACGGTCTTTCGGACTAACTTTTTCGGTTCTATTATTATTCGCGCGTCGACACTCAAAGAGTAAAGTAGTGGTATACAAGACGCTCCGTTAAATCCTTTTCTAGGCGCGATCGCGATCAATATCGAAAAATTATTTGCTGTATTTATTATATTATATTATAATATAAAATATAATATAATATAATACAATATATTTCGATATGACGAACGAACAATAACACGGCGTTCGATCTTGACGTAAACAATAGCGCGCTAGTCATACGGTCTTAGTATCATTCACAAAGCGACACTCAAGCAGTAAAGATCGTAGTGCGAAATATGTCGTATATTCTTATATGTTTATATGCCATAGTCTTGAAAAATGTTTGGGTACAAAAATAATAATAACACGGTCTTTTGGATTAATTTCTTCGGTTCTATTATCATTCGCGCGATGACACTCAAAGAGTAAAGTAGTAGTACAAGACGCTCCGTTAAATTCTTTTCTATACGCGATCGCGATCAATATCGAAAAATTATTTGCTGTATTAAAATATGTAAAATATAATATAATATAATATAATATAATATAATATAATATAATATGATATAATATAATAAAAATACGTATTGTTTACGCCAAGATTGATATTATTATCTGTTTGTCATCGAAATATCCTACGTACGTTAACATATTTATATTACCTTATATTGTAATATAAAATATAATACAATATATTTCGATATGACGAACGAACAATAACACGGCATTCGATTTTGACATAAACAATAGCGCGCTAGTCGTACAACGTATGGCCTTCGTATCATTCATAAAGCGACACTCGAGCAATAAAGATCGTAGCGCGAAATACGTTGTATATTCTTAAATTAATTATTAATTAAACGATTATTGTATCATGACTTTCAATTATATTAAACTTTCGACTATAATCGTATTAATATACATGTATTGCATATATATATCAATAATGAAAACAACAAATTCATTACGCGTAATAATTAGTTTTACAAAATGAATTATTTTGAGTTTTATAAAGAAGATTTATAATTATATATCTATTAATTATATATTATATTATATATAAAATTATATATAACCCTCCCACGGGGTACACCTTGTCGCGGTGGGAGGGCTTAGTACTTGGATGGTGCCTTGAAGTTTATTTTAAATTTTTTAATTTAGAATAAATCTCAAGGAGCCTGAAGAGGAAGCTAAGTACCCTTTCGCGTCGTCGGTGCCATCAACGTGTCGCGGATGGCGGCGTCTCGTTACCGCGTTTTCGCGTTTAGCTTTTTCGCGTCATCGCGTTTTCGTGTTGGACTTTCTCGCAATCCCACTTTCACAAGTGAAACGGGATTTTCGCTCGTATCGAAATCGGAAGTGTCGTTTAAAGTATATATATATATTAAATATATACATCGCGCGACAAAACAGAAAATTTTTAATCGTATCGAATAGTGCGGGAGTGCCGTTCAGTATCGCGCGTAAAATTGCGAAAATAGCGATATAAAAATATCGCTCGTGAGTGCGGGAGTGCCGTTAAGTATCGCGCGTCTAACTGAGAGGAGGAGGAGGCCTAGGAGAGGCATCGGGCTCCGGCAGAACAACCTTCTGGTAAGCAATTTATTTATTTGTAATTATATATTAAATATATTAAATATATATTATATATTAAATATTAAATATATTTATTATAATTTAAATTAAACAATTAATCGCAACAATTAATTTGATTTGTTTATTTATATGATTTAAATAAGAGGGAATTAAAGATAAAGATTTTAAATAAAAGCTATAATCTTGTAAAAATATAAGCTTTTATAAAATTAGTGAAGATAGAGTATTATTAATAAATTCTGTTCTGTTTTTTTTTATTTTATAGAATTATTTTATTAATTTGATTATTATTATACATATCATGTATATATTATATCTCATATATATATATATATATATATATATATATATATATATTATATCGAATATAATTCAATGCATACAATAATAATTTTTTGAAATATTAATTATTTTAAACTCCGCTACAATTTGAATTTTCTCTTTATATGTTATAGATCGACGCAGCAGAACTGATGATCTGAGAGGAGGAGCAGGCCTAGGAGAGGCATCCTGCACCAGCGGAACAACCTGATGGTATTATTATTTGTATATTACCTATTATAAATTGCATTAGTTTAATTCACTTATTCAAATGATTTAATCAAGAAAGATTGAAAGAAAAAGATTTTATATAAATCCTATAAAAAAAGTTTCGATTTAAAAAATAGTTTTTTTACAATTTATAAAATTATTCCATATTTATATATTTGTTTTATATATTATTGCTCGTATCGAATATAAAATTCGTTGTGTACAATAATAATTGAATATAAAAAAAATAAAAAAAAAAAAAAAATATATATATATATATATATAAT